TTATCAATATGCAGCTTTTTTTGAATTCTCGAAAGCTATGGAAATTAAAAATGTAAAACAGGAAATGCATTGTTACTGTTTACATCCCTCAAAATGGAATATCAGAAAGTTATATCTGAAATGAAAATGCACAAACAAAACATATATTTTAAATATATTTTTATCGGTTTCTGTTCAAGTAATGAAAGTTAATGAATCAGCATCTGAAAAAAAGACCTCACTGATTTTCATAGTATAGACCAGGGGTGCCCAAACTTTTTGTTATGAAGGGCCAAAAACCAAACTTGCCAGCAGGCTGTGGGTCGAAGGTAAATATACCAAACTCTATTACATAAAAATTACCATGAGTAAATTCCTAATTTATTTCCTAACATGTTAAAATAACTAGAAAACATTGCTTTAAATTATATTAACTAATGCAGTACATTTAAAATATATATATATAATGAATTTATTACAGTTAAAAACCTCAACAATTCTATTAATAACACAATGGAGTTCAATGCTGAATACTCTAAACTGCAACCCCCATTGTCCTCTATCCGTCTTTCATATTCATTTTCAAAACAAAAGAAATTACAAAACAAGCAAAACATTACATTAAATTTGAAATGACAATCTCTGTTTTAGATATTCGCTCCATAATTCGTCCACTCTTCTCAGATGGGATGGTGGTTTAAATCAAGGGTTGGCCTGGTCCAACTTTGGCCTGCAGGCTCAACTTTGGCCATCTCTGATATAGACCTACAGTAGTATTGTTGTGAAATGGAATATTTATTCATTCATTTTCTTTTTGGCTTAGTCCCTTTATTAATCTGGGGTTGCCACAGCAGAATGAATCGCCAACTTATCCAGCTTATGTTTTATATATTTTTTATTATTTTTGTCTCTTTTTCTTTTCATTAAACAATTGTATTTGTATTGCTTATAGGTAATATATTTACTGAACTTCTTCTGTTGAGTGTGATATGCTTTTCATACTAATGAAGCATTTTTGCAGAAGTAGATGAAGCTGATAGAAATGCAAAGGCCTGGTTGTCTTAAATTAATTTGAGCTTTGTAGCTAAACTTCCTGTTAGCAGAGATGTTTTGAAACTGAACACAGAATATGTGCAGTAGAGAAAGTATTATGCTTTTAATGCTGTGCAGAGAATTCGTAGAAAAAGAGGACGTACTGTATGGGTGCGGCCAATGGAGGACTTGAGAATGATTGACAAGTGACGATTTTCACTAAACTCCAACTGTTAATATCAGCTGCCAATAAAAGTTGAAGTCAGGAAATGAAAGTGGTTGCGCACCTCCTGAATGTAATTCTTGCATTGCGCTGAGAATATCAGAATTCTGTGAATCAAATTATTCAATGTATCCCATAAATTACTAATGTTTTTGACATTAAAGAAAATCTTCTCCTGAACTTTTTATTGAACACGCATGGAAATGATTAATTATTCCAACAGTATTGGCTTTTATAGTGTAAATTAAAATGTAAACACTTTTTAGGATAAACTTTTTTTATGTTCCACATAACAAAAGCTGCTTTGTAATAGAATGAAAGTTAGTGTGGATATTTGACTTGACAAAAATTATATTTAGAATTTAGTTTCATAGAACAAAGACTTCTAGTTAATTTTCATATATTGATTTCATAGTAAATAATGAAAGTAGAAAACAATACTGTACTTGCCTGACTTATTGAATAGGCAAAACAACTAAGATATTATTTAGATCTAAACTATAGACACAAAAATATTTGTTTCACAGATCCAAGAAGATTTTGTAATGTTATAAAGAATGTTTGAAGAAGTAATAATATTCTCAAGAGTGTATGAATAATTTGTAAAATTATAAAAATGTTTAACCTGTTTTGGATTATTAAATGAAAGTTAATGGGGTTCAAACAACATTAGACCTGACAGATGTGCATTACATGGAAAAAATCTAATACTTAAGATTGTAGGATGATAAATGATATTTGGGCACAATCCCAAAATCGTAACTGCACTGTGTATTTACACAGTGGCCATATTCATCAATGTAAACACACCAAAAACAACATTAACATTATACCAGACACTGTAAAAAGCTCATTCCCAGCCTCTAGACATTACTGACAGGCTATTCGAGTGTCAGAATGTTGTGAGACTGCTGTACAGGAGTTGTTAATAGGGGTTATAAATTGCGAAATTTAGTGTTTTTCTTAAAAGCATGATGGTAAAACATGAATGCGGTTATGAATATATTAAAACGTGTTTGTTTGTCGTAAAAAAATCGTAATAATGACAAAAAATACTAATTTGTGGATCTCCTTACTTCCAGGTTCAGCAATACTGCCGTTGTGGCAGGTGTGGGAAATTTTCTTACCCCTTGTTTAGAGTGGTTCTAAACATTTTCATTCGAAAGGTTATTCACCCCTTCCCCTTACCCCCTAATGCCTCAAAGCTAAAGAGATTTGGGACGCCCCTACCCCTTGGCGTGCACGCACAAAACGAGGGGTAGGGGTAAGGGGAAAGGCTAAGGGGTAGAATTGGGATTGGGCCTTGCTTTTGATTTTTAACAAAATGTTTCACCTGTCAAAATAATGAAAGTTAATGGGGTTTAAAATAGGACTTGAATAAAAAACGAAAAAAATTTAACTGACATTTTTCATGCGTACTTTTGTGTTCCACAAAGCAAAGACTGGTTTGTTAAGGGGCACCTATGATGAAAATCATCTTTTGTAAGCTGTTTGGACAGAACTGTGTCTGGGTATAGTGTGTTCACGGTCATATTGGAGTGATGTAAAGACAATAAGTCTCTTTTTTTAATTTTCTGACATATCCTGAAATCGGATCCAAATCCCATGTTGAGCCCTACCGCAATGTGATGTAGGTTTCCCCACCCACCAAATTGATTGACAGCCATGTATTAATGTCTACGCTGTAACGTGTATAATCATATCAACAAGACAGGACGTGCACAAAGCAACTGGAAATAAAAGATCTGTTCAGCTCTCTGTGATCATCAGTCACCATCAAATTTAATCAAGAATGAGTTCTACAAGTTTAAAGTGTTTTTAAAACATATTTGTAATGAATTACAGCGATTTAACCATGTTGGTACATTTATAGAAAAAGATGCTTCAATCCTGGTTTGTGGATGTTAAATCAGTTTTTTTTTTTTGTTCATTACCATAACGGATGTCCATACAGCAGTGTATGTCACATTTGCCATGCAAAGTTAAACACGCATACTGTGTGTGTCCGCTGTGTGTGTAGGTCTGTGTGTATGTGCATGAGCGACATTGTGTGTGACTCATTTACTCCACAAGAAATACATCAAATAATAATGATTGGGAAAGTTTTTACAGTAGTATTTCTCACAAACGTTACGTAAGATCTGCTTCCTTCATGTCTGTCACTGTGCTGTTTATCTGGCACAGCCAAGGTGACCCACATGGAAATGGTAGACGGGCAGAACTAGCAGTAAAGGCACAGGCAACAAAAACAGCTACATTGTGTTCAGAGCATAAAATTCCAATATTCTGTAAGATATAATAAATAATCATTTGAGCTGAAACTTTACAGGCACATTCTGGTGACACAAAAAGAGGTAATTTAAGTGCCCTTGAAGACACAAAGAAAGGCAGAATATTTGTTTGGAAGTGAACTGTCCCCTAAGGAAAGCTTGGAAAGAGCTTCTGTTTTTGGAGGTGGTGCTGTTGAATATGCTCACAAGCTCAGTGTCGCTTCTCCTAATGTCAAGATCAAACAGCAATCAAAGCACGCAGGAGATGTCTGTTTTATTTATCTATTTTCAAATAGCTCATCTTTATGTGGAAGCCAAGCAAGGCCCGAATCCTCTCTCACAGTACAGCTCTCAGTTTAAGTCCAAATAAAGAATGGCAAAAATGATTCCCTCTCGCTTTCCTTCCCTCCCTGCTGTTCGTGTGAAGTGCATGGGCAAATTCTCCGAGCTCGCCTGCTCTTTCGCGGGGAACGAAGGCCGTTTCCTTACATTTTTTGCCGCACCATTGTGTGCTTTATGGCTTGTGTCGGGGGTGAAATCACTGCGCAGCGATTGACCCTGGCTCTTCTGGTACTTGAATATGATGATGGCTGTTTCATGACTTGAATATCAACAGCATTGTGTCTTCCCGTTTTAAGACAACTTCCTCAGTGATGTCAGCGGTGGCATTTGTTTGAACATTATAAATGTGCTTGAAAAGGATAAAGACTTTATGAAGATAAAACACAATGTTCTAGAGCACAACCTCCACTTCTCAAGGTTGTAAAACAGGACCTATTGACTTGGTTCATGCGCTTACAATAAAAAAGACATTTTATTAAATAGTTTACCACCAAAAACATTTTTTACCCTTTTGTGTTATGCTTAGTCAGAATCTGCTTTCTATGCGTACACTATGCACTTATGCGCTTGTGGCGTGTCAGTCCGTAAGAGCTCTGTCCATTCATCTCACTTTTGAGAGGTCCTTAAGGTGAAATTCTTTCTCGTACTAACCAACAGGTTTTAAGAGGCATTCACGAAAAGTCAAACATTGCAATTAACCACATAATTAAGTGTCAAAGCCATTATGCTGTTTTCTAGTTACAGAAACAAGGGCTGTATTGATTAGGAACAGACCCCGATTGATCTGCTTATTGATTGGCTTGCATAGGTATTTATCTGCCAGCATGTGTCAGTCTGTATTGGGGACAGGTGCAGTTACTACTGCCTTCAGTTAAAGCTATTAGACTACTGTGATGGCGAGGCAGCAGGCTGTCAATCAAACCCTCACCCACCCCCATACACAACCACCTTCTGTGCTTTTGTAAGGCTTGTCAAATTAAGACACACTTCAGTAGTTACTGCTTCATCAGGGGTATGGGCTCTATGCAGCTTTATGTTTTTATTTACATCAGCCAAAGAGGCTGGTCAACGCTTCTGATTTGTTCAAAGCAAATGATTTCTTGAATAATTATTGCAGTATGGCTGACTGTGCTTTATTTTTCACTTTGTTGCAGGATTCTGTGATGATCAAGTTTTTAGAGGAAGTTCCTCATCTTTTGGCATCTTACGCCAGGCTGGCAAACACATCCTGCTACAAAACATGGGCCTGCTTCCTTGAACACTTCCTCAAAGAAGGTAGTTTTAATAAATTTTGCAAAGATCCTCTCACTAAATAATAATAATAATAATAATAATAATAATAATAATAATAATAATAATAATAATAATAATAACAATAATAATAATAATAATAATAATAATAATAACAATAATAATAATAATAACAAATAAATAAATACATAAATAAATAATAGAAAGGTTAAATGTAAAGGAAGAAATAAGTGTATGTAAAATGTAAAACAAATCCCATGTGATTAATGGGTCGCTTTATAGGACCCACTCCAACTTTAGATGTTGAAAAGTTTAACAATGCAATAATTTTTTTATGGCTTAAAATGTTTTATTGCCTAAATTGGTCATATAAATTATGGTACCAAACCCGTTAACGTGCAGGCAGTACTTTTAACTGATTAATTTCAACATATAAATACCGTGCTCAGTATATATAAGTAAATCCCTTACAAATCTCTCTCATAAATTTATATTTTTAATAGGAAGCTATACAGTAAAATATTTGCATTTGTGCATAAACATCATATTAGTCAGTTCTGAAGCCAAATCTGGAGCTTATCTAACAAAATAACTTAAGATAACAGTCCAAAAACTAATATACCCATGTTTTAGAAAAATATTAAATACAAATTTTAAAAAGAGGAAAAATCAAGAGAAGCAAAAATTGAAATATTTATTTTAAATTTTGTAGGTTGTAATTTGTTGAATTTAATTGTATTATCTTTCAACTTCTGAATATGCTTGGTGAATAAAATATTATTTTAATAAATGTATCTGTTCAATAAATCAGTTTTGTTTAAATGCACCAAAACACATTGCATATATTCACTGAGAAATTGATCAAAATATTCATTTTCATAATGGGGTGTACTCAATTTTGCTGAGCCCTTAGATAATTTCTTAAATATTGTTTCAAATGTACTAAAAGTGTCAATAAATATCAATTTGTGATAGTGTAGCATTAATGTTTCTCTAAACATCATACCAAACAGCACATGGACCTGTGGCTAAATGTCTAATGCATATGGTGCACGTTTTTGTCAAAACACTTCAGTAGATTTAAAGTCTTCCTGTAATTGTTTTAAACATGATTTCCAGCAATCAAATGTGCAGCATCTTAACCAGTTGATTGAATTAACAAAACTGTTATGTTTACATCAATGACAATGCTCACTGATAGAGTTATAGTAAATACAGCATTCGTCACTATCCGAGATTCACATCATATGTTTAAAGGATGTCCAAGTGTGTCCTTGAAGCATTTAAAGGTAATATAAAAGTGTTCTTTTAACTTGTTTGACTGGTGTGGCAAACTATTTAGCTGACAATTTGTCATCATTTAAGGATTTTTTTAAAGATCAGGAGCTGGTTGCACCAACAGTGCCTAAATTAAAACGTAGCCTAGTTGTGACTTAAAGGGAAACAAAGTTACAATTTACGCACTACTAAATATTTTAGTGTTGCACCACTAAACTTAGTTTAAACTTTACGCTACATTCCAACTCAATATTTACGGCAGCATCCCTCCTTGTATAACGGTAGAAAAGCTATGACAGCGAGATTAGTGTACATAAAGTAGCTCGTGATGATAATGCAGAAAGATCTCCCTCTACTTACGTCCTTATTTTCCTTCCAAATCTCGCATTTTCTTCGGGTTGTGAAAGAAGAGTTTCATTATGTTTTTAAAGAGTGTTTTGTGTTAATTGTATCCATCATTAAAAACAAGAATTTCTTTATTTCTTCATTCTTTTCTCTTTCATGTGTAGAATATAAAATAAAGTTTAATCTTTGAGAACTTCATGTGTATTTTGCATGCATTCACGGCTCGTGATGCAGGTGTGTGCGTCGTCTGCTTTTAGTGACTGACTGTAATTTAATGTACTATAAAAATTTGATTTTTAATTTAATTTTCATTGGATAGATGTATATAGATGCATTAGTTGCAGAATTTTAAACCAGTTTAACGATTTAAAGCTTTTTATTGGATATTACGTCAATACAACTACACGTGACTACATATGACTTTACTGAGAGGTTATGACCTACTAACTACGGTTTGCCTTAAGAACATGTGGTGCAACCGAAGTGAGAACAAATTTAGTTACAAACTAGCTAGTAATTATTAAGCCCCTAGTGTCGACCTTAAGTTCCAGTTTAAGAACGAACTTACGAACAGCTGGTGCAACCCTACCAAGATTTCAAATGTTTGCCGCCTCACATCACTGCATATGCAGGCTAAAATACAATAGATGCAGACAGTGGTTGGACATGTTGTCTTTTGATCAGTTATTCAGAATTACTTGCTAGGATGAAAACATCACTCAAAACCATAAAAGGTTTACTCTTGACTCACAAATACAACAAAACCATTTGCTTTTATAAAACAAAGAAAAATAATGGGTACTTTAGCCTCAATCTGAATGATCTTTATGTTGAAAAGAGTAACTGAAATAAGAACCGAAACCGAAAAAAAAAAAAAACAGATCAGTTAGGGTATTAATGCATTGTTGCTAAAAACTTTTTAAGGCATTCATGAGTGAATGATGCCCTAATTGCATATCTGCCTGTAGATCATGCAGATATTTTCATACCCTTAAACATGATCCAGTACAAAATGAAACATTAATGGTTGATTAACCTAGCATCATGGGCAGTTCTTGACCATTAAAAGCAGCCAAAGTTCCCAGACCTTTACTTGTCATTCTGAGGTCTGGCTATGCAAAACGTTGAAGTCTGCACCATCAAATCTTTTGAGAGTAGAAAGCAAGGCCCAATAACACAACTCAAAACTGTATAATGATTGCTTTTTTTTTACTTCATTCCATAAATAGCACCCATTTTACCTCAGGTGAGGTTCCATGCAAGCTATACCTGTATTAAACTACTGATCACTGATTAGTCCAAACTAGAATTTTCACTACCATCATTGCTACCAGTGTTAGATTAATTAATCAATTAATCAATTAGATTTCCAACACAAGACACCAAATAAATACTGCTGTACTGTTTTTCGCATGACTAAACTATTTTTTTAAATCAAAATATCAATTTAAATGGGGGCTTAGCCAAACAACAAAATCATCTGGGTCAATAAATTAAAATACATTTAAATGTAATAGTTTTATATTTTTGGAGTTTAATGTTGCCGCCTTTGTAAATAATTCCAAACTATTTTATACCATTGTAAGAAAATTAAAGCTGAAAGGGCAGCATTGTGGTTAGTACAAAAGGTTTCTCTCATTGGTAGCAGATGAGCGGATGACCTGAAAGTTTTTCAGAAAGTCATGCCAGCAAAGTTGGCCCAACTGTAGCAATAATCTCACCCACTTCAAGCGATTCTAAACTGCAGTGGAAATGCAAACTGAGCCAAGCAAACTGAACTGAAGAGAGCTGTGTAACGTGCAGTGAAAAACTGAACCTATGCCTATAGTACATAACATGTCAAACAGCAGTCATTGGTTTATTTGTTAATATGATGTCTAAAAAATACCATCAAAACTTAATCTCACTTTCGTTATTCATATTCATCTTCTTCCTTTAGGAGGAGTGATAGAAGCCTTTCCTCCTTCACAGAGTTTGACGTGTCTGGCGGTGGATCTTCTGTTGGAGCCAGGCGGAGATGTGCTCATGCTGTCCTGTGGAGATCAGCTGCGTGGGCCTAGTGGCTTGGAGGTGTTGGGCTGCACTGTACCACAGACCTCCATCTGCCCTGAAGTCCTGCACTCCGTCTGCACTCGTGTGGGTCAGGCCTGTCAGCAGCGCTCCATCATGGGCCACATCTCTTTAGATCTGGTCACTTTCCTGGATCCCAACAACCTGGAGCAGCAGGTTAGAGGCCAGCACAGTACTTAGTCTTTGAAACCCTTCTCAAAATAAAACAAACTATATTTACACTATTGTTGCCAAAGTTTGGTCAGTAAGATTTAAAGTAAGAATATGTTTGTTCAAGAAGGATGCATTAATATGTTTAAAGTTAGGCTGCTTATACTGTAATTTAACTTTTACATTACATGAATTTTATTTTAAACAACACAGGCTCATTGTGAATATGTACCCCGTATACATTTCTGGAGAACACAAATTATGGAGCCAGTGGTATGTATGGCTACATTTCATCTTTCAAACAAACACTACAGGACAGCATGACGCCACCGACGGCTTCTGTTTTTTTCGTGCAACCAGCTGACCACTTACCTCTGTGTGGATGGCTTTCCGCTGTTACCAGTTTGCCCAGTGGCTCGCTGCTTACATTGGCGGACTTAATGCAGAGCGTAGTTGACTGCGACTGCAGGGTTTAAGTCTGGCGAAGAACAGTTCCAGAAAGCAGGCCAAGTAAATAATTAACAAGTAAATAACATGGTTAGAACGTGGTGAGATCTGAAAACGTGCTAAAAATCAGGTGGCTTTTCTTTTTCTGGATTGCTTTTAACAACACTATCGGTTGGGTTTTGGGAAGGGGGTGGGTGGGGTTATCGGTCGGTCAGTCAGTCAGTCAGTCAGTCGACAGCGGCTTTTGGTGGATTTTTACAAGAAGAGCTGGTTAAAATGTCACTCACAAGAGAAATTTAAGATCTCAAAAAGCATATACAGTGGCCTCTCGTGGAGTCGTGAAAACAAAAACTGCAGAAATGTTCCTCCTGGGACATATTTCGCAGTTACCCGAAATGTGTACAGGGGTACGTATCCATAATGAGCCTGGGTTGATTTTCAAATGTACGTAAATTAAATACAAAATTTCAAATCAGTGTATGTACTGTAAATATGTAAAAAGTCTGAATAAATATTTTTTAGACTTTAAAATTTACAGTTTTTAAGAGTTCACACTTAGCTGATGATTGATAATAAAGCGTGTTTGGCATGGTGTTTAGGGAGAGAGCCCTGAGCTCAGAGTATCCTCCAGCCCAGGGCCCCCTCCCCTTTGAAGGGCGAGAGGGGAGTTTGAGCTCAGGTAGGTCTTGAGAACTCATTTGCTTGTGAACGTTTTAGGAATAGCCGAAAGATATAGCTGGCTAAGAGTTAGTCTTATGATGCCACTTTGGATTAGTTAATTTACCTATAATGTATGTCTTTGGATTGTGGGAGGAAACCGGGGAACACAGGGAAAACCTACACGAGTACGGGGAGAACAAGCAAACTTTGCACAGAAATGCTGACTGGTCCAGGAGGGGTTGAATCAGTGGCGTTCTTGCTGTGAGGCAACAGTGCTAACCACTAGGCCACCGTGCCACCCTAGTAGAAGGGGAGGAGTAGGGGTGGAAGAAGTTATTCCTCAAGACAAAAAATGACTGAAGTGGAAAACCCTAGTTATTTATAGTGAGTAAATTGTCTGAAGTGTTTGAGTGTGTATGGATGTTTCCCAGGGAGGGGTTGCAGCCTGAAGGGCATCCGCTGCATAAAACGTGTGCTAGATAAGTTGGCGGTTCATTCCACTGTGGCGACCCTGGATTAATAAAGGGACTAAGCCGGAAAGAAAATGAATGAATGAGTAATAAATGCAGTTTTATATAATTTTATATGTAAAAACTGTATTTATACAGTCATAACTAAACAAATATGAAAATAGATGTTTTTGATGTCTACATTTGTATGACATTTCCATTGATATATAAGTATATGGGGCAAGATAATGCTTTAAATATAATGTTTACCATTTACTCAACTTACTTTATGCAGTTATATGTTTTCTGTTTATAATAATATATATCAATATTGTTTTCTAATCAAACCCACAACGTTAGTATTGCTAGCACTATGCACTACCTTTTCAGCTACCGGAACAATGGAATCACTCAGCTCCATCTATCTTTCATCAAACAAGCTCTCTCAAAAGCAAATTGACCCTTAAATGTCAGCGGTGTGTTTTACAGCTCTATGAAAACAGAAGTTGCCATGTTAAGAAGCTGTTGAGAATGAAATGGGATCTGACACGTGGCACAGATCTGTCATAGCCATATTACTCCTTTAACCTCTAAATATATGGATAGTGTGAAAGTTCAATCTACTGGTCCGGGGCTCTTATTGAGATGTTATAAGATCAGTCCTATAGGTTCCGCTCAGGAGCTGTACAGATGAGAGAATGACCAAGGGCCAATGTGCCAAAAGGCTATCTAATAAACTGTCAGGTCTGATTGTGTCAATAAACTAATTCCCCTTTTAAGGCCTTGCCCTCTGACCTTACAACACACTTGCTATGCGCTGGTGTCAGACAGGAGGTCAGGCTGGAGTGACACTGGGGTTCTTGGTCACTGTCGAAGGCAGATTAAACACTGCACGGCTTTCTCTTGTAAATTACTGCAGAAGTACGCAAAGAAATAGAAAGCTATATAGAAGATTTTGGCTTGGTTATTTGCAAGATTTTCCTCAACATTATGCCACTGGAAAACTTAACTCTTTTATAATTTGGTCAAATAGTAGCTGATTCTTATTCACTTGTACAATTTCATTATAATGTAAATATTTTGGTAGTTTTTATCAGATATTTTATTTTGGACTTTCTATTTATCCAAAATCCTAAAACGTAAGAGTTTAAAAGCAGGATTTTTATTCAACTTTGATGTTATTACAAACTATTAATAACACCAATAGTGAGTGATCATTATACAGCGGCAATTACTAAAAAAATTAAAAACACCACATTATTTGTCATGAACAGATCACATTAAAATACTGCAGATTTTTTCAATTTTTTCCTAAGTTTTTAATATCAAACAAACGTTTTTAGTATCAAATGATATCACCACACACCACTATGTGCCTAAATGTAAATGATGACAGAATGTAAAAGTTTGTGTGAACTACCCATTTTGTAAGGGAATAATATTCCTAGCAAAAAAACTACTTTTTTTGTATTTTTAAAGGGCACCAACAGTATGATAAAAATCATCTTTTGTAAGCTGTTTGTACTGAACTGTGTGCAGGTATAGTGTGTCCACAGTCATATTGGGGTGATAAAAATAATTGTTTTTTTCTGTATTTAAAATAAAATCCAAATCACTTACTTTTTAAGGCCCAACACAATGTGACATAGGAGTATGGCTTCCCTGCCCATCAAATTAGTAGCGCGTATAATCATATCCACTAGTAAGGACGTGCACAAAGCAACTGGGATTAAAAGATCTGTTCAGGTGTCTGTAATCATCATTCATCATCAATCAATCAATCAATCAAGCCTTTATTTGTCACTACACTTTCGTATAGAGAATCAAATGTACATCAAATGTAATCAAGAACAACTTTTACAAGTTTAAAGCATTTTTAAAATTGAAAACATAATTCAACACTACAGCCACATAGTGACAGTACTATTATAAAAGAATATGCTTCAATCACGGTTCGGTGATACTAGGTTGTCGCGGACTTAATTGTAGGCATGGTTAAGGTGCGGGGCGTTGGATAGCGGAAGGGTGTCGCGGACGAAAGTGAAGAGGCTTGGGGAGTCGTGGAAAAGTGACAGTGAACAGCGGACGGCGAAGGAAGATGGTTGAGGAGGGGGATTGGTAAAAAGAGGTGCCAGATCAGATTTCAGAGGTTCCGGATCCGGCGTTTTCGTGCACAAATTAAGCCCTGTTTATGTGCGTGGAACTTTATGACGACATTGTGTGTGACTCGTTGCAAAAATTTTACTAACTCCACAACGATTATATCAAATAGCAGTTGGAAGAGTTCTTACTAGGGAGATCTGCTTCATTCTTGTCTGTCACTGTGCTGTTTATATATGTTTAGGCCATGACTTTGACATGCACATGGGAACGGTGGGTGGGGAGAACTAGCTTATATGCATTAAAGGCACAGGCAACAAAAACAGCTACAATGTCTCAACAGCTCAAACTTCCAAGATTTAAAAAGGTGTAATAAATAATCTGATGGGTGTTTTGAGCTACTAGCCAAATGTGATGCCTGAAGTAGACATGTAGATAAATTAACAAGATTTGTTTTCATGACTCTACGAACTTAATTAAACTATTATAATATATAGAACATGTTGTAGTAAAAGACGAACACTAAACTCGGTTAAGGTACACCCTAACGTGGAATATGGGTTTCGTTGTACTAAGAAAAGAATACACAGACAATTAAGAAGCGTATAGTATACTATACAATCGTTAATATTTAATGGTGCTGTTTTTGATTAGCAGTCATTCTCCTGCTCATTCCTCGTTTAGCATTATACATCATACAATCAAAATACAGAGACCATACAACAGGGGTGTCCAAACTCGATCCTGGAGGGCCGGTGTCCTGCAGAGTTTAGCTCCAACTTGCTTCAACACACCTGCAAGGAAGTTTCTAGTATATCTAGAAAGTGCTTGATTAGCTGATTCAGGTGTGTTTGATTAGGGTTGGAGCTAAACTCTCCAGGACACCGGCCCTAAAGAACCAAGATTGGACACCCCTGCCATACAAGATGTACATTTTCCAAGTTCTCCAATTTGATTACAAAATCTATGACATATCATAAATATAAACAACACAATCATAACTCGAAAAGTGAAAATTAAAAAGCCTTTGTTGACCTTATAGCATTCCTGTAAAATGTGCTTAAATGCCTAAAAAAATGCATACACAACGTAAATTGCATGCTATTTTTTAACCATTTTGACACACTAAGGTTTATTCTTTAATAGTTAGAATCACTGTAAATGTTATTGGTATTAAGTAATTAAACTTAAGACACACTAAAAATGCCTTAACTAATCTTAACTAATGCCTGCAGAAGACTATAATTAAGAGGTATTAGTTTGAAAAGACAATTGAATCAAAGCTTGAAGTTTTACCAAGCCAAATTATCTATTTTGATAACAGTACCTTAGAACATTAGTGTTTTATAC